GGATGGTGAAAGGTTTGCATAGGTCAGATGAAGAAATCAGAACTGAGCCTGAAGTTCGAATTTGTTCATTCGCGCCCATGTCTGCTCAGAAAATAAAAAATCCTCCTTTTTACTATATTTTATGCGCATATATTTTCTGTTACATATTATTTGCACGTGTTCACCTAAAATTTGATTAAAGCTTAAGATACATTTTAGGTAAACACATACCTTATCAGAGAGATAATGTTACGAAACCCGTACAGCTTGTCCTGTATGTATGGCTACTCAAGGATCATAAACCAGAAATAGAAATACTAATCCTTATTGCCTTTACTACTGATTTCTGTGTGCATACCGTTGCTCGTAAGGCGATAGGTTAACTGCCCACGACCATCGTGGACAGTATATTCAGGAGTCCTGAATCCTTATTTAAGTTCGAAACCATCCTCTCCAAACGAATGAGAAGCTTATTTATTGAGCCCATGAATCTTAAACTTTTAACGGTGTACTCGTTTTAGTCATAGGATTGGTATGCTTTTAATTGGTCAAAAAATAGTTGAGGTTGTGACCTTGACTTGGGCTCAATTTACGATTGCTTTTTCACTTGTTGAGGTAAGTTTTGCCTATACAACTTTTTTCACTTATCCATAGATTTCGATGTTGTTAACCTCTACTTTTCGTTATCAGGTGTCTATTTTCTAGGTCTTTGATTAACATGAAATTGGCGATCGTGAGTCCCCTCCTTTTTGCTATACTGTATGCATATATATTTTCAGTCGTGTTATTTGCACACATTTACCTAAAATTTGAATAAAGCTTAAGATGCATTTTAGATAAACACAAACCTTATCAGAGAGATATGGGCCCAGTTTCGTGTTGGTGCTGGTGTCGATGCCGTAGAATTTCCCTGGTAGCCAAACGCTAGCGTCGCTACGATCCGAGTAGATCCGTCGCGCTACTCTGTCCCTGCATTGCGCGCACATAAACGTGCCCACTGAACGCGAGCGCGCATGTGGAAAGCATCACACCTCTGACACGGGATGCCATTCCTATGGTCAGCGTCTCATTTTGCTTCAGAAGATGCCCCTCACCTGTACATATATTCGTAAATTAGATCAAAATGGCATTGAATTACGTACCAGAAGAGCAATACGTGTACGGCTTTTGTGGGTATGAACGAAAATCATGCTGACTCGCACGCAACACCAGCAGAATAAATGGCTACCCACACCTATTTAAACCAAGTTATATATTAATCTCTCCCTGGGCCCACCTAATGTACCTTAAAAGGCAAATCCATTCAGTATATATTATATATTTAGTATTAATTTACTTCAGTGGTGATTAACATTCATTCATATACACCTCATATTGATTCTCCACCATTCTTGATCATATTCCATTATTACTCCAAAAGTACAGGGTTATTCAGTCGGTCACTCCCCGCCTAACGTCCTCTTAGCCTCTTCAATAATGGCGCGCAATCAGGTTGGCTTCAAAAGCAATTTTATCCAGTTAATCTTACACATTGAGGGTTAGTTTTCTTCTTTGATCACCGAGCTGCACAAGTGGACGCCTACTATTACATCTGCAATAATCATTAGCCTGAATCTCCCTCTGGCGGCCCCTCCAACGAAGGGACCCTATACGTACTGACATAGTCTTGATTGATATGCTTTAAGCACTTAACAGACAAAA